CACACATTGCGCAGATATGGGGGTTTCCTATACCTTTAAACGGGGTTATAGGGGATACATGTATATATATGTATATATGTTCTATAGGGATTATATAGGGTTTAGGGTTTAGGGTACCTACTATAATGGAGAATCAAATGGAAAAGAAAATGGAAAATGAAATGGACACTGGGATTATATAGGGGATTATAGGAATTAGGGTTTCCAAAAATTGGGGGATACCTTTTTAGGAGTCCCCATGATTAGGACTATAGTATTTGGGGGTCTATATTGGGGTCCCCCTAGTTTGGGAAACTACCATTTAGGGTTTGGGGTTTGGGGCTTGGTTTGGGTTGGTAGGGTGTGCAGGGTGTATGGGGTTGAAAGAGTGTGTGGATTCTTTTGGGCGGCAGGTGTGATTTTTACAAAGTGACGCGAGTTGCACGGACAGTCCAATCATATGGCATTCATGGCTCAAGTGTATCTAGCACGCACGCATATCTACCACTGCACAACCTTCGTGTGCCCCATACATTGCACTTCTCTCCCTAAAAACCAGACGCTGGAGCTTGAATTCAAAACCCGAGGTTCGAAGTCAGATGGACATTAGCATTTTCTCTTTGGACACTGGTTGGGACAAAGTGCAGATTCCTCTGATAGCGCAAGTCTGTCGCGGTTCCGGTATCAGGGGAAGAGTTTATGAATATGTGAGCTAAAGCCACAGGTGATTCTTCCCGCAGAATCCATTTCGACAAGGCCTGTAGCCGATGGCAGAATCATAAAGCATATTACTCCTCCTGAACCCAGCCTTTCTCAAGAGCTTCAAGAGATTCTGCATTGCATGGTACAGGAGTCCCCCTGCATGGGCCCAGTATGCTGGCAAGGCTCTCACGATTTTGAGAGGCAACCTTCTCTCTCATTTGGCCGTGTCTGAAAATTTACCGTACAGAGTCCTTGCTAGGGACCCCCCTTCATCCCCTGTAATCACCCCGTGTATCCTAGGGTCCACAAAGGCCCCCAATGTTTGCAAACACCCATTATATAACCCCTAATATACTTTAGTGGTTTCCATTTTCTTCTCCATTATCCCTATATAACCTTCATATTATACCCCTCCTATATTCCCTATTTTACCAAGGTGCAGACTCGGCTTCAGGAGGTTTCACAAACCTACAGCACCTGGGTCTTGCAAAGAGTAAGAGCTATTCGCTGAGAATTTGACAGTTCATAAGAAGTCGTAAATGACCAGTTATAAGTTTAAATCAAACCTAGCTAGCACCATCATGGGGGCATTCTGACTGGATGATGTTGTCTGTGTAGCTTGGGATCCTGATTTTAGCAAATTCCGAAGAATTTCGTCCAAGGAAATGTTCACAATGCCTCAACACATAGAGTAAGAGCTAGCGTAGAGGAGGAAAGGAAGAAGCCTGAAGAATGCCAATATCATGTCCCTGTGTAAAACTATAGCACAATCTACCCCAAGAGCCCTTTGCCATTGACTACAGGGCCTCTACATTACTCGTCCAGAAGCATTGCAGAGGCTACTTGTGTCTTTCATGGGTATCCAAATTCTGCAGGAAACAATCATAGAGTGACCATCTGGCACATGCTACGTCATGGAATCGTGGGGAAAGGTAGGATTTTGTTTCAGATTTTTTTCAGTGGCAGAACAAGCTACCACAAGCCTCCCAGGGCAAAATGCCAAGCTCTCTTCTTGCACCTCCTTTACCCTAAACCCTAAACCACAATAGCTTCTGGTCCCTTCAAACGGACCCGGTCCATGGTAGAAGGCTCTCTTTGACGTTTCGGTTTCGAGAAAATTGCAGAATCCAGACCATCCCCTTGCAATCAATTCCCAGGGACCTCAGAACCGTGAAGGCTTCAAAATGGCCAGCCTAAACCGTAAACCGTGCTGCCTCTTATTGTCAGGCGGGGGTCCCGCACAATTCAAGAGGGTCCCGCGTTAAGCCCTAGACCCAGGCTTTGACTGCAGAATGGGGAAGTCGCCGAAGATTTGTACGAGATCCATGCATGACAAAGGAGAAGCAGTCTTAAAGCATTGAATTCAATCCATAGACTCGCATTCCAGACCAAAATTCTTCAAAACAGGCTTTTAATAAACCTGGAAATAATTCGCAAACAGACCCCTTAAGCACAAGCTAAAACGGTTCGGTGAATCCATGGTGTATTGCAAACGCCAGCTGTGATCCTGCACCTGAGACTGCAAATATCAGTCATGCCATGTACCGCAAGGTCTTGCACAAGTATATGCACAGACCACCCTAAGTTCAAGCCCGCACTCCAAAATTGCCACTAAGTTTCTGCTTGCTCCGGGCTATGTCCTTCTCGACGGAGAGCTGGAGAGACACGCGGGGACAAACAAGTGCGCCCGCTGCTGCCTTGAGCGTAAACTTACTCGGGGCTAGTGGGGAATAAGGGACATAAACCCTAAACCGCGTATTATATAGGGGTTATGTAGGGATTATATTCCCATACCCTTCTGTCTGAGAAGATGTAAGTACGCCGTAAACCTTGGATATGATACTGCCCCCGCTCAGGGACACATGGATAGTGATCGTATAAAAATAAGACAGGCTTTGATATGAGCTTTGATATGAGCTGTAGTCAAAGACTTCCTTGAAGGGGGATATATAGGGGAGGATTATAAGGGTTATTAAGGGGGATACGTTTAGACTATAGCTCATATGACCCCTATTATGATCTTTTATTCGGCAGAGGCAGTACCCAACGTAAACCGTGAATTGTAGGACGCATAAGGCATAAGGGCTTCCCAGCTTTAGAGTATTAGATAAGGAACCTGTGCTTCTGTCGTGATGGAAGAGGTCTCTGAACCTTAAACCCCAAAATCTATACCTTAAATCCTATATCCTGAACCCTAAACCGACTAGAATGCGAAAGTCTGCGGTCTTACCAGCTTATTGCTTTCTTTCTTGTATCCATGCCCGTCTTGGTTACAACAGACTATTCGAGCATTTCGGACCATTCCCCATTGTTTTTCAATCCGGCAGGCTGGGCTTAGCACTTGCGCACTGCTGTGTGAGGTTGGCACGGGAAAGTCGAGCTATAGTCAAAACTCGTTCATTCACGGGGACTATATAGGGGATGATTTAGGGGAGTATGATAGGGTTTACTAAGGGGGCTTCTAGGCGTGTAGACTATATAGTTCACATATATATATATATGTATACACACACAAACTCCTTAATTAAAGGGGGCTATCATAGGGGTGTATTGTAGGTTTACCAAGGGGATACTAATTGTGTAGACTATAGAAGCTCAGAGTTCAAGCGAAGAGGGGGCCATCCTTTTGGAACTTGAAACCTCATTGCTGTGGGCTTATTTTAAAGAGGTGGGCCGCCTCTAAACCGCAAACTCTAAAACCCTGAACCTGAACCCCCCCCCACCCCCCCCCCCCAAAGAGAAAGGAAGAGGGTTTTCACCCTCTCCGCCTTCGGCAACCATCCAACACGCCCCCCAAGGTCGGCGGACAGCAACCCAGCATCTCGCAAACACCGGGCTAATGTTCACTTACGTTGTTCGGTTTTTCCTTTTACAAAGAATATGTTGCTACGGAATGTTCCGGCCTTGCCAGTATCACAGCTGCAAGTTGTGGGATTGTGCGGAAGCTGGTCGGCAAAGTCAAGGGATATAAGCCTGTCAGTCAGTGTGAGAAACTGAAGGGGGAAGTCGCTAGGGTTTAGGGGTTAGGGTTTAGGGTTTAGGGTTTAGGTATGTGGAAGGCTCATGTTTGCTTGCGGGAGTATATTCCGAGCAGTGTAATCTAGCAAAATGTGGGTTCGAACCGTTCGAACCTCCCTAGAGAATACACTCTAAAACACCCCAACAATGACCCCCCCACCCCCAACAACTAATGAACACTTCCCTGGTATGTGATGTTGCTACAGCTGAAAAATTTGTCATTGAGGACCACTCGAGGCTTGACATCACCAGCATTGTTCGCTTACAAGCCTGGCATCTATAGTCACACATACTACGCAGACCCAAAACCTTTTCAGTTAAACACGGACCTACATGAAACCCAAACCCTAAACCCTAAACCCGAAACCCTAAATCGAAACCCTAAACCCTAGACCCTAAACCCTAAACCCCAAACCCTAAACCCCAAAACCCCAAAAGTTCGGGAGCCCAAGGCTTCTGCTAGTTGTGGCGCAGCTCTGCTCTGGAGTTGACCTCATTGCTTTTGGAGAAGTTCAGAGCACGCTTTGCGGCATAGGACTTCCATTCAGGGTTGGGGTTTAGGGTTTAGGGTTCGAGGCTTTATGTTTGGTCAGGTAGAGGTAGCCCTAAACCCTAAACCCCTAAACCTTAAACCCCTAAACCCTAAACTGTGAGAAGCTCTTTCTGGGTCCTTTTGGGTGGCCAAAGACATTTGCTAAAACCGGGGCTAGGTCTCTCGGAATGGGTTTCGGACATATACTGGTTTGGGGCTCAAGGGGGTAGGCTTTACGTTTTAGGACTACCAGTTAAGGAGGTGAGGTTTGGGAGGTTGCAAGGTTAGAGTGGTCGGTTCAGGCGGTTTCAAGGCTGTAGGGTTAAGGGTTTAGGGTGGGATCGGGGTTGCGAGGGTACGTGGTGATGTTTACAGGGCTCGGGTTTACGAGATGCTATTCAATGGGCCTGCCGTTCTCATAAAAACCGTAAAAGGATATGAGTTTTTGACTAAACTCCTAGCATCCGCCTGAATAACCCCTGTAGTAGTCCCTTACATAACCCTTTGTATTAACCCCCCCTCAAGGAGGTTAGATCTTGTACCCCAAACAAGCATGAAATCCTTGGGATGGACAGCAGCCATAGTAGGGGCCCTTTGGGAGTTTGATGCTTGTTTTGTGGGAGTATATCCTTAACCCTCCTAGTCTTGGATATGGACTGAAACAACGGGATTCTTTTAACACCTTAAACCCTAAACCAAAATCCGGGAGGATGGGTCATCTTCATCCTCTCCCCGTCCTTCTACACGGCGCCTTGGGCCCAAGAAGCCAAACTGCTGCTGCTGCTGCTGCTGCTGTGACTGTTATATGAGCCAGAATCGAAACTCCTTAAAAGGTGTTATATAGAGGATTTTATATAGGTTTAGGATTTAGGGTTTAGGTCTCAACTCCTTAAAGGGGGTGATATAGGGTATTATATATAGGGGGCTACTATAGGGGTTATTCAGGGGAATACTATGAGTTTAGAGGTGACGGGCGGACTACGACATCAACCACGGACGCAGGGCTTCTCGTGTCATGCAGGAATCCCCCCCCCCTCCCCTGGTTTTCATATCTTTCATGTATCATTCTAATCCCATGATGTTCAGATTCTTCAGCCACATGGTAGTTGTGGTTGCCCCAAATAGGCGGACTTGAATATAGACCCCCTATACTACAATCCTTCTTATGGGGACCCCCAAAACGGTACCCCTTGTTTTCATAAACCCCCATCTAGGAAGAATGGACAAGGGTGGCGGGGTTAAGTGGGTGGCTTGGGTAGAAGATTCCAAGTTTAGGGTTGTGGGTTTGCAGTGGATTGCTCTTGTAATCCTTCATGGGGTCAAGCATGCTACGCGTTCATGGACGAGGGGGTCTACTTGGCTTATCAGTAGAGTCATATCAGGAGGTGGGTTATAGCCACCACCTTGGTATTTGCTTGTAACCCCTGTAAGTAGGGGCTTTCGGTGCACGCTGTTGTTTTCACGATCAGCTGATCGTCTGAGGCTAGGTCCCTTTAAAGGAGATATAGGGGTGTACAGGGATTAGGGTTGAGGTCAAGCTGGTGTTTGTGACAAGTGACTTTCCAGAACATCCAGAGCTTCTTTATGGTGTCCATATGCAATAACAGAATATCAGGCACAGCTGCGTTCACAAAAGCGGGATGGACGGAGAAAGGCATTCCCTCAAGTGAACATGGAACCGTATAAGTACCATTCTCCCAACTCCTCTCTGGGGATTGCATAAGGGAGTATATAGGGGACCTACTATAGGGGCTGTTAAGGGGGATACTAGGAGGTTAGACTATATATAGGCCTCTTTAAAAAGGAAAGTAGGCTTTATAGGGCCCTTGGCAGGTTTCCCAAGCCATGGAATCTAATTTTAGAACCCTTTAAAAATGTTCCATTTCATTTCCATGCTCTTCTCGGTGTAATATCCTTAAGCTTTACATAATCTTTAAATCCCCCTATACACTTCCTATTACACTTTATAGTACTTTCCATTTTCTTTTCCAGTATCCCTACACCTTAAACCCCGAACTCTGACCCCTAAAACCCCAAACCCCAAGTCCCCAAACCCTAAAACTCCAGACCCTAAGCCCTAAAACTCCCAAACCCTGAAACTCTACAACCCTAAACCAGCTCTAAAAAACAAATCTAAAGCCCTAAAACCCTGAGACCCTCAACCTTCAAACCCTAAAGCCCAAAACCGATTCGGAGAGAGAAGACAGCGAGCAGCGAACCATCCCAGCACAAAGTTATACTTTCTCTATATAGACCCGCTTAAGTAGATAGAATTAGGATATATGGGGATCTTACTATAATCTTATCATAATTTACCCAAATCAGGGGGTTTAGGGTTTTGGCGGTTAGGGTTGACGGTCTTGGGGTTTGAGGGTTGAGGTTCTTAGGGTGTTTTTTGGCTTGAGGGTTTTAGGGTCTTAGGGGTTTTAGGGTTTTCCTTCGGGATTTAGGGTGTGCGAGTTTTAGGGTTTGCGGCTGAGGATTTAGGGTTCACGGTTTCAGGGTTTAGGACAAAATGAGCTCTACTGGAATTCCCGAGCAATATGCCCACCATCCCCTTCAACCTCTACATGTTGTTGGGTATCTAGGAGGAGAAGACACCAAAGTTGCACAAACCTGCGATCTTATACACGGCCAACTCAGGTGGAGAGAATTTTGCCCATCTACCTCTTCGAGGGCGTCGAACAGAAACTTGTCCAAGATTAAAAGCCCTAAACCCCTAAACCCTAAATCCTAAACCCTAAACCCTAAACCCGATATTAATTGGCAACTACTATCGTCCCTGGGGTTGGCTATACCTAGTACACTCCCCCAAACTAACATGGAAATCCATATGGGGGTTTCCCCCAATTGGGGGTACCATTTTGGGGGTCCCCATAATAAGGACTATAGCATATTTAGGTCTATATTGGGGTCCCTCAATTTTGGGAAACTACCATATAGCCCTATTTTAGAGGGGCTGTAGTCTTTATAGGGCCCCTTTTGGGTTTCCATGTTAGTTTCCAGGTGTGTATATTAGACGGCCCACAGTAACCCTATTAACCCAAAATTCTAAACCCTAAGCCAACCCTGTAGTACTGTAGTATAGTACGTCCAATAACCTCTTCGTAGCCCCAGGTGTCCACAAAGAAGGAACCCTCCGGAGAAGTTTTTTAGCTTCAACAAGATGGTGAGTAAGGCCCTCTTCCTAGCATCCTCCCCTACACCCCTAGTAATACATGCCCCCCAATTCTTTGTCATGTAGTGAGGGGAGTATCTATCATGAGGCCGGTGCGAAAGGCTTAGGGGAGGGACTGGAGGTCTTTAGCTGCATGCAGTGTTCCAGACCTAGTGCAAGTGGTTGCCAAGCTATCTTTCCTCAACTAATGTAAGTTTCGGCTTTAGAGTGTTGTAGCTTAAGGCGTAGGCAAGCCTTTGATCACATTCGGCGTCAGAGGCTGCGAGCACAGACTGCATTAACGAGGGTTAACTGTGTTTTTCAAAGCTTATGATCGCGCGTGTGGCCAGGTTGGTTACATTTTGTTATTGGCGTATGCTTGGTCATCAGGACTGCTCATGGTGAGGCTGCAACAAGTTTTGTAGAAGCTACCATCAGAGTTGCCGTCCAAGGCCTCTTACTTACCTGAGTCGTTCTGATCTCCAAATCCCACATGCAAGTCCTTCAGTTTGTGGCTGTTGCTTCGTGGCCTGGAGACACTTCGATTTGTGGACAAGGATCCCCGCCAGATCCCTTGTTGAACATGCGACACACAAATGCCACGTAGGCCTATCAGACAAGCAGTGTGTGACGGCTTCCTGCAAAAGAAAGGTGTGAGCCCCCTGGCCTGAATCCAAAGTGTGCTGTTTTGGGTTTAAGGGCTTGCGGCTTAGCCAGAATACCCCCAATAATGAAGAATCAAATGGAGAGGAAAATGGAACGTTGAAAATGGAATGGAAACTGGGATATACAGGTGTTTTATATAATCTCCCCCAAAATACAAACTGCGTAAACCCTACACCCCAAACCCTAAACCCTATAAACCCCAAAAGAGAAATCTGCAAAAAGGGTTTGCAACTGGAACTCTGACACTCCGAGTACCAGACATATGTTTGGACCCTTCGAGCTATAGTCTAAACTCCTTAAAAGGGGTTATATAGGGTTTGGGATTTAGGGCCTTGGGTTTGGAGTTTAGGATTTAGGGTTTAGGATTTAGGATTTAGGGTTTAGGGTTTAGAGTTTAGGATTTAGAGTTTAGGATTTAGGGTTTTGGTTTAGGATTTAGGGCTTAGGGTCTAAAATCCTTGAAGGGGATTATCTCAAGGATTATACAGTGAACTATTATAGCAGTTATTAAGGGGAATAGTAGGAGTTTAGACTATGG